ACTGCAAGTTGAGCTGCTCTCATTGGCTGCGCAGTTTTAAATTGTCCATAACAGGAAACAATGGAAAGGAAACAGGAAACAATATATACTATATTTACCTATAGGATATATATATATATAAAAAGCTTTCCCTTTCTCACCCCTCTTGGGGGTGTATCTGTGTTCATCCTCAAGCTCGGGTTCCATCTACCAGAGCGCTGGGGCAGCTTGGCAGGCTTGCTGCCGCAGTATTCTTTAGCTGTTCCTACGGTCTGCGCTTCTTCTGCGACTGACGGCTTTCTGGATGTTGTTTCCTGGGATCTGTTGGAGCCGAACTCCCACAGTTTTAGGGCGTCACTGCCCCAGAGTGCTCCTACTACCACGGGATACACGCTTGCCTTGGACTTCACACATCTGCTCCAGCTGTTCTTTCAACCCTTTGAGGAATCAGCGAGCTACTTTTTTCCACCAAATACCTTTGTGTAGCAACTGTTAAGCCTATCCTCATAGTACTTTCTTAGTGTTTGCTCAAGAGTTGCCAATGGCTACCAGCCAAGCTAACAGTTATAATCTAGGTCTAGAGAATTTCACACATGGAGGCTGTGCTGCCACATTTTAATACTGTGAGCGTCAAAACTCTGTTCAATCAGGTGCAACAATTATAACAGAAATCCTTATCCATGCATTATTTTCTTGCCTAGGGTCAAGAAAATGATGTTCATCAGTGGGAGGACTGTATATATCAGTCCCCACCTTAATAAAAAATTATCAGTCCAAAATAAAAATGAATATTCCTTCACCTGTTCTCCCCATATTAGTATGGGAAATTCTCCCCTAGCTTGCAAACACGTTTGCGTAAAAATGATGGTAGTTTATAGCTTTATTTTGTATGGTTGTTGGTCTTCGTAAAAATATAGTTGGTCTGTATTTATGTGATTCAATCTACCAGTTAAGCTTGATCTTAGCTTTTACCAGTGAGAGGTGAAATTGGATTCTAGAAAGTTTAGTAAAAGTAAAGTAATCCATGATTAGAAAGCATGCTGTCATTTGGTTTATATATGCAATATGTTTCTGTTGTTGACATCAAGGCAAAGTTAGAGAAGATGGATAGGTGGGATGGTATCACTTTTCCAAGACACAATTTTTGAAATTGTAGACCTGAACTGATTTACGTGCTCTCAAATTGTCTTTCCCAAGCCGTTTGGAACATCAGCAAAATTCAAAAAGCAAAATCACCACTCCAAAAACATTCTTATATACTTTGAAATTACACTGTGTGCTTGCTGTTGTGCCATCAAATGAAACACTAAGGGGTTCATTAAGCATGCTGATAAAGCTAATTCCCCTAAAGGACTGCACCGTATATCTGAGCATATGTATTATATACAGTAAATGATTGAGAAGAAACATCCACTACATCTTCAAGGTGGTGTATGTAAAACATCATTAATTCCAAATGTGCAATATATGAATAAAGAGCACCACTTAACATGATTTCTATGTTAAAAGGATGTTTGCTGGTAGTATATGAGGACTAGAACCATGAAGCTATCTGAGGTTTATCTTAAAGTTATGCTTATTATTTTACAAAACACATAATCAAATACCATTTTTCTTTAGTACTGTGGATCTCGAAAATAGACATGACGTGTGTTAAATTAATAATAAATTTAATGTCTTCTTTATCATTGTGAAGGTTAGTCCCAAATATAGTAAGTAATATTTCAAGGCAGATGGAGAAGATACAATGCTTTTTCACAGATAACCCAGAATGCTAGCCAAACAATCGGACATAGTTCTAGTATGTTGTTATGCACTTATTTTTTCATTAGGTCTGGTATGTTTCATTAGTTAATCCCATTCACACTCCAATATCTATGTGGAGATTTAATTCTGCTGTATATCCCTATACTCATAACTCTGTTGTTCTTGTTTAGTGCACTATGCTCATAACTTAACAATGCTTAAATCTAAGTTAGGAATAATCCACAGCAAAATGATAATGCAAATTATGTGACTAGTTTAAGTGAGATATTGAAGTATTAAATTATGAATATTATGTATATGTAACATATACTAAATGTAACTAAAAAAGATCTAGTTTAAGCCAGATTAAACAATTTAAATATTTAAAATTATATTATAAACAAATTAATAGGAGTGCATAACCCATACATCCTATGACTTATGTGTCGCACAAAAGGTTTGTATTCAAAAGAAGCGATGCTCTAGCGGTATTATGGCTACTCCATCTCT